GAACTCGACCACCTGCAGGGACTCGAGGTCGATAAGAAGGCCCACGCCCTCGACGGGCCGGGCCCACACGTTGGACGTGCCTCCCCTGTAGAAACAGGTCACCCGAACGAGCCTTCTCGTTACGGGCTCCCCGTACCAGCCCGTGCTCAGGGGCAAGCATGTAATCTCCGACAGGTTGAGCCCTCTTTTCGAAATCGAGTCTCGAAACTTGGAGCTAGTGAATGGCAGCATGCTGGCTTGCAAGAACTCGTCGAAGGTGAAAGGCGGGTAGCCGTGGCCTTCGTGGGCTTTGTCCGAGAGGATTGAACCGGCGACTAGGTCGATGATCAGTTCGCGTGTCTCGCGATCGGCTCGAATCACGGCTTTGGCCCGGCGGGCCGGAAAGGGCTCGTTTTGTTTGCCGGAGTTGAGCCATTTTAGGACGTCCTGTTTCGGGGGCTCGTCAAGGTCGAGAAAGTGAAAGGTTAGGTTATGGAGTGAGCCATAGTGAGATTTTTGGATAATGAGCGTAGTTTTTTCGATCTCTTGGGTGTGAGAGGATCTAATGGGTGGTGGGATTGAGCTTTGGATGATGATAATAATAATAATACTAAACTTGAGAGGATAATTAAGTTGGCAACTCTCATAATTTTGTAAAGAAATTTATAACACGTGATGAAAAATTGTGATTCAAGAATCAAGAATCGACCCTTCATTTGCGATCATATATTGAAGGTAAGATAATATGAAAAAGTTCAAAGTCACTCGTGCGTATAAATAAGGGAGATGTTACGTTCTCGTTATGGAATCATTCCATCAAAATTTGTAACTGTTAGATCAATTATCTCTGACAATTACATGATGATCTAACAGTTACAAACTCGACGGAATTGTGTCGTAACCAAGAAAAGTAGTACTAGTGTTTAGTGTGTTCTGTACTAAACTACTGCCTGTGATAAACTTCGAAAATCTCTTACAGTGCAAAATACAAACATTTTCAAGCCAAATTACAAGTGGTCAATAGATAAGGTGCCTTTAATTATGGCTTCACACATAACAAGATAAATATAATATACATATTTGCACGAATCATTTTCATTATATATTGATTATCTTTTCTTTTCTTTTTTTCTTTGTAATATTTACTTATTATGATCAATTATTAGTCATGGGCATGCGCATGATCATTGAATGTATCACATATGGAGTATTAGTTGTGACATTAATTATATTTGCATTTTATAGCAAAATAAAGTTATTAAATAAATATTTATGTATTAATAGTACAAAATACACTAGATAAATAATTAGGGTCAACGAACCACAAAAAACAGAAAACTGAACCTAGCAAAAATTAAAATAACCGAATCGCACCGCAACTTGAGAAAAACTGAACCAAAACTGAATCAAATTTTTTTACACTAAAATAATTGAACCGCACCACAAGGATATGCACGGTTCGGCTCGCTTTTAGGCTTTTCTATAAACTTTACGGTTCAGAGCAAAACCGCACCGAAACAAACAAAATCGAAAACTGAACTTATGAAAAACTATAGTAGCACTGCACCGCAATATAAGAAAAAAAAACTGAACCGAAAACTTGTTACATTTAAAAAACTGAACCGAACCGCACCGAATTGCTCATTCAACTCGGTTTTTTGGTTTTGCGTCGTTTTTGCTCACCCCGATGAATGATTATATCATTTGGAATAATTACAAAACCTTTAAAAAAATTTAGGTTGCAAAAAGACCCTCTTCTAGAAGTTTTTCCCAATTACATTTGAGGTGATTCTAATTGATATATTTAATAACTTACGGAGGTCCTTTTGAGTTTTGACATATTGGAGAAAAAATGTTGGAGGTAATTAAATCTTGAAACTGAACTATATATTCAAATTCAAATCCCCTCAACTCTGGCGGTTTGTATAATTGTCCCATTTTTTTTTTTTTCTTTTAATAATTGGAAGACCAAAAAATGGATATACATGTTTTGGTAGTGTATGTCCACCTTTGCAAGCACAAAGGCAAATCAGGCCCGGTGACAATTAATAATTTAATACTCATTATGCTTTGTTTCCTTTTTTCCATTTTTTCCTGCTCATGACTTGTATTCAAGGCTAAGTGCCAACTTTCAGCATTGAGAACTGTTTGTTCTCTACCCATCATACTTTTAAGAGCATCTTCAATGTAATGTCAATTATAGGATTGTAGAAATTTCAGACAAAAAAATATCTCCAACGGTGAGTTTTTTTACTTCTCCATGCGATGATCTGGCATGAGAGAGACGCAAACTTTCAGATGTCTTTCTACATCTGAAAGATCGTCTAGACTAGGTACTTAATAAAAAGTACATAAAAAATACCTAATGAATATCACCTTAATTAATAAAAAATACGAAAATATTATAAATTTAATGGTATATATTTGGTTAAATTATACATTAACATACATAATAAGGGATACTCTTAAAAAAAATACCAATATAAAAATACCCAAGGAATATTAGTTTGGATGGGTAACTATTCAGAAAATAAATACCAGAATAAAGGATATTCTTAGAAAAATACTGATACAAAAATAATATCAAGGATAAAGGATACTCTTAAAAAAATACTGATACAAAAATAATATCCATTTGAATAGTGAGTGATAGCTTTAAACAAATAAATATTAGCGTAAGCAATAATTCAGTAATAATTTATAGTATTTTATCACGTTTTTTGACATTTTGTTAGAACAACGAAGAACAAACAAAACACAAACCATATCTAGACATCTATTGTTGTAGAGTTATTTAGGAATATGTCATTTCATTCGATCCACGTGGACAGAAGACCATCAATTTATAGTGCAATTCATTCTTATCATTGGAGATGCTCTAAGACCATCCGCAATACAGCGCTAGATGGGTATCTTTACTCTTTTCTGGCGCACAAATGCACTCCAATGTTGCGCCACAACATTGCGCTAGGATAGAGATTGCTACAGTGTTGCGTCAGACGTGGTGCAACACTGTAGCAACGCTAGTTTATTTTTTAAATATATTTTAATGCAATATTAGTGATAAATTTTTGTATAAAGTGTATTAATAAATGTATTTATATGGTAAAATTTTTATGTAATGTATTTTTTTGTTAAATAATTTTGTGCTTTTCATTTATTGATGTATTTTTTATACCAATTTATTTGAAATAAAAATAAATAAAACATACTTTTATTATTGGAATAATAAATATTTATATAAGACTAAATATATGTATATATATACCAATTTATTTGAAATAAAAATGAATAAAAAATAATATATTTGATGTGGAGTAAAATGTAGAGCGAAGGGCTGGAGACGAAACTTAATTTTTGGTTCACTATACTCTAGAGTAGAGTAAATTTTGCACTAGAGTAGAGATAAAGGCTGGAGATGGCCTAATAACTTTATAGCTGTCCAGTGACAGGCGTAATCAGGCTTCACAGAGGCTGAATGCCCCCTCATTTTCTTAATAATTATATATTGTAATAAAATTTCGTTTAAAAATATTATATTTGGCCCCTTCAACTTTTAATTTCTGTCTCAACTTTCAGGTTTGGTTTGTGGCTTGAGTTTTCCGTCCGAGCTAGGCGTTTAGGCAGTTTAGAAGGCGGTCTCTTGAGCTGTGGATCTTTCCTTGGAGTCGTCTTTGTCCACTGGTTTTAGCTTGTTCAAGCTGCTGAGGATTAGCGTTGTCTGCTTAGTTTTTTTAGTTTTAGTTTTGTTTGTTGAATTGTTTGGTCGGACTTTTGTTTTTGGTCTGGGTCATTGGCCTTTGTACGTCCTAAGTGTGAGTGAGTATTAACCTATTGAGGTCGTTTTCTCTCATTCTCCTCTTGGGAGCTTTTCAGTGTCTGTATTGTGCTTTTGTGTGTTGCCGAGTGGTTTCTAGCGTTGCTAGTTTCGGTTCTAGGCGGTCTTCTTGTCCCCGCCGACATTTAGACTTTGAGTTGTGAAGTTTGTTTTCTCAATTTTGACTATTCTGCAGCTAAGTTGTCAAACTTGTGAACTTAGTGTGTTGGGTTACTTTGGATGGCGATCAAGTTTAGTAATTAATAACATGTTGAGTACCTTTTTTTGATGTATTTTGAATAATGTGATCAACTTTGGTGTTACTTTGTAATAATTTTGTCGATTTTTGTGTTTTCTAATCCTTCTTATTGTGTAGTTTTGGAGAAGTGTTTTACATATTAGATATTTTGCTGGTGTGTGTATACATTGATTTACAGGAGTACAAGATTTTGAACTCTGCGGTTTTCGCACGTGGGGGAAGACAATATGGTGAATTAGAGGAGATGAAAATAAAATAAATTAGTAGATTTTGACCTGTGCGTTTTTTCAAATCGGGAATGGCGATATGGTGAATTGGAGGAGACTAAAATAAAATAAATTAGTAGGGTTTATTTTAATTGCCACAAACCATTAGACTCATAGTTATGTGACAAAAATATAATTTTATGTTGTCAAATGTCATATCTTATATCATCCAGTTTAGGACTGCAAACAAATCGAGCCGAGTCGAGCATTGACCTTATCGAGCATAATTGATTGTTTTTTTTAACTCGAGCTCGACTCGAAATCAAAATGCTTGAGCACGGCTTAAGTTCGGCTCGAAAATTTTTAAGTGAAAAAATAAAATTACCATTAAACACCTATGCTATACCATTGTAATATGTATATGAGGAGTATTTTAGTAATACAACATATACCTCGAGCCGCTCGACAATGCAAAATATGCAAGCCGCTCGAGCTCGACTCGAGTTCGGTCAAACTCGAGTTCGAGTCGAGCTTTGACTCGAGTGCTCGTGAGTCGCTCAATTTGTTTGTAGCTCTAATCAAGTCTCCTTTCACTAGTTCGTTGTTTCCCACCTTTTCCTTACCCTCAATTCTTTCACAGGCAGAGAGACTTGTGAAAAAAAANNNAAAAAAAAAAAAAAAAAGAAAAAAAGGAAAGGAGAAAAAACCAATACTGAAACGAAAATAGATATTTGATCAAAGCTATGCATTTTATTTGGAAAAAATACAAAATAAGTAATATTGACGGCATAGTAGAGAAATGAGCCAGCAGGCACTTACCAGGAAAACATCACAGAGTCGCATACAACCAAACTCGGTACCAAGGGTGTCGAACCAACTATCCCATATTATTTTATAAATAAAAGGGCAGAAAGTCCAGTTTTTTCCCCACTCGTGGAGCTTACTCACGAATAGCCCAATAAACATCCAAAACAAACTCGAGATTAGCACAGACGATGCACACATTACATCCTCAATGCTGGTGAAAAAACTGCGTAATGTTGCAGCAGTTGAAGGGCAGAATACTGGGAGTGAAAATGTCTCATTCTAATGCTATTCCGAAAATCTCATATCGCTATATATAAGTGAGATAAATAGCCTTCAACTATGTCTTTCCAAGAATTTTTCTATCACGACAGAAAATGCAGCGAAACCAGCACACCCAGCACAAGCTGCTTTTGGCCCCCCTGTAAAAGAAAAGGAAAAGAGAGAAAAGAAAAGAAAATAAAAGAAAGGTAAAAAAAACAGGATGACTATATATTATTTTTTATAAAATGTTATGAAAAAAAAAATAAATAAATAAAAATTGATGTAGGTGCACTTCAGAATTTTCCAGCATCAAGGTCCAACAATAACCATCAATGAGTATCTAATTCCAGGTGTGGAAAGAGACGACACATGTTCAAGAACTATCATTCTAACTCACAATTATCAACTAGGAGTTGGCATACAATCATCTTTCCCAAGGTACAGTAACATCGGAAATTCCTTCATGATAATTACAAGCAAGTACAAGGATTTAACTTAAGTAATAAGGATATATGTATAAAATTTACACTTATTGGACTTCCAATAGGATGTGCAAGTGAATTCCTCTTTAGCAGTATAAAACATAAATTTAGCACGAGTGATCGTGTGAAATTAATTTTATTCTACACGTCTCTCCTTTCATTCTCTAAATATAAAAGGTAAATTGGAGCCACATGTTGAAAAAAAAAAAAACTTGAACTTGAAATGCAAAAACAGTAACAGAAAGGCCTGAAATGTTAAAAAAGGATTACCTCTAGCTGAAATTGCGCCACCAGTTACACATCCAGCGACAACCGTATTCGTAATATCGTGCTTGGCTCGGGCCTTCATTAAATCAACTCGATCTTAATTATTTTTTCCCCAAACATACAAAAATTCATTCCGTTCCATGGTAAATAAATAAAATTACCTTCTCGACAACACATTCAGATGCAGAGAAGACAAAGCCCATAATGGCAAAAGCCTTGCAAGAACTCCAGCTCCTACGGCCCATCTGCTTTGCCTGGTAAACCAATTGTTGTCTCCCTGTCATCTCATCTTGCATTAATGGATTATCGAGTGCCCCGAGAAACAATCCCATGAACAGCCCCAATCCACCTCCTGTGGACTAGTAGAAGTCAAACTTAACAAATTCAATGCATCACTCTTTCTACTTAGTGCTTTTTTATATTTCTCTTCGAAAAAAAAAAAATATAAAAAGAAAATGAAGAAACGGGATTCCTAAGAAAAATACCCATGACACCACTGACAACACTTCGGACAGCACAGTTGTTCCATATGTCCTGGCCTCGAATTTCCTCTACTGTAGGCAGGCGTATAGGCTCGATCTGGGGTGTTGGTGCTTCTTGTGTGCTTGAGGAGGCATTTTGTTCACTGTCTGGATTGGAACTCATTAGAGGAGCCTACACAACAATGGTGGGTAAGTGTACTGTAAATCAAACTAAAATAACAACCGTATGGAATTGGACTAAAAGGCGAGAAAAGTGATTTTTTCACTGTCTATCTGTGTGTGTATGTGTGTGTGTGTGTGTGTGTGTGTGTATTTTAAGAAGAACACATGGACTGGAATATCTCAGGTAGTTTGTACAAGAAAATCCTATTAATACTTCATTCCAGCAGATTGGAAATACAACTTTCAATTCCACATTATCATATTTCACCATGAATCATGCTTTTATACGAAGACAAAATCATAGTCCCAGAAAATAGGCAATAATCAGCATCAAGCAACGAATTCTGTAGACCGTGTGCCGGAACTAACCGGTAATCACCCTAAGAGTTCCCTTAAACGATACAGCTACACAACATATCAAATTAATTCCCTCTAAAAATACAGCTAAGCAAACTATCAAACACCTTTAGTGCAAGAAATGTACCCACTTACAAACTATGGAAATGCATTTATTATTCACACACCATCTGAGCAGCACAAAAGCCAATTCAACAGAAACTCAATCCCACCAAATGGTTATGACTTCTTATACTAATCAAACAAAATGACTCAAGAAATATTTAATAGCACACCTAAAAAATACTAGTCCCCGTACCTTAGAAATGATGGGAGAAGGTTTAAGCTACGACGACGGGATTTTTTACAGGTGCTATTTGTTAGAAGGATCTGAAAGAACAAGAATCATCAGCACAACAACTAGGTTTTGGATATGCGTGGCGAAAAAGAAAACGGAAGCAACGAAAGAAAGAAAGAAAAAAACAGCGACGGTGGGGTTTTAAGTTTTAGCTTTGCAAATCGGGCGGGGCTAGTGTGGGAAACCCAATCCGAAAATAACCCATCTTGGGCAGCGGGTAGAGAAGGATCCGGATTAAATTTAAAGGGTAAAAAAATTGGTAAAGCCCCGTTCATTTTCACGAATCATACATCGGATTTAGTGGGCAATGGGGCAGGTCGGGCCGATAGTCGACTACCCGAACCTGTCCCGACCCGTCGAGGCGTCGAACGCCCTGCTATTAGGGATAGCAATGAGCCAGGTCAGGCCGGGTAGTTCTGTGCCCGGACCTGGCCCGTGCCCCGCAACGGGTCCACCAAGACGGGGCCAGGGCGGGCCGACCAGCCCTGCCCCGAATGGTTCGGCCGAGAGTACAAACAACCCATATAGTCATGTTCCAAATTTAAAAGAAAAAAAAAATGCAGCATATGTCAATTTCAAATCTTACACAAACAGGAAAAACAATTTATAAATGAATATTACAAAAATTAAGCAAATCAAATATCAAAATCCTAATTTATTAACGCAAACCTACCGCATCAAATGACTAGAAAATAGAAGAATAAATAGAGAATCAAATGAAAAAAGATTATAAAAGGGAGAAAATATAGGAAGGGAAATGAGAGTTGGGAGAAGAAAAATAGATTGATGGGAGAAGGTGGGGAGAAAGAATAGAGTGACAGAAAAAATGTTGAAGTGAATTGGGGCCGTGTGTATTGTGTCTTAGGCCCTTAAACCCCAAATTTTACTACACTAGTATTCTAGTATGATGCAAATAAAATTTTATGTGTTAAGTGTGTGTATACATGATATTTAAAATCACATAAGTTAGATAATGAGCATATCACATTTTAGTTTTATCAGTAATAATTATAAACGATATAAATATAAACTATTAACATACATATCAATCTTTATATTGATTGCAATAATATATTTTTTGCAATCTTTGATGATTTTGAACAATTGAATAGATAAAAATTATTAAAATTATTATTATTGCAATTGTGCATGAAATTTTAAAATATAATTAGCTAATATTGATAAGAAAACTTGGTTAATGAGTTAAACAAAATAATAATAATAATAATAATAATAATAATAATAATAATAATAATAATAATAATAATAATAATAATAATAATAATAGTTTCATAAAAAGTTTTTGATTACCATATTATGTAATGTGACTTTACAATTTATTAGTAGTGATTGTTACATAATACAATAAACAAACAATATAAATATTTAATTAATTCTAAAGTAACAAAAAATGGAGGAAAACTTAAAGAATTTTATCAAATTTGTTGCTAGCAATTATATATGTATAGATTTTATGATACAAAATTAAAGGGGTCGGTAATAACATATATTATAAAATGGAGCAAGACTGATTTATTTACAAAATTTTAGGATTTAGTGTCTTTCATTGTAGCAAGTGCCTGATGGAATTATTTGTGATGCTCTTTTTGAAAATTATTTATTTATTTTTCATAGTATTAATTGACTATCGAGTAATTTTTTAAATAAATTAATTTTTTTTTTCTCTTTCTTTACTGTTCTAGAGTTTGTGTTGTGTTTTTGCTATAAAAATATTTTGTCAAATTTTTATTAGAAGTGATAAATACAATAAGTTTGATTTGGGAATAAAGGCCATTGATTATTGTGATAAATGTATTAATGTTTATTAGTCAGTTCAAATTTTATAGTAATAAATGTATTAAGATAAATTTGTGTAGGATATTTGTGTATACAATGATGATATTTTTATTCAATGATGCATTAGTCAGTTCAAATTTTTATTAGTTAGTTCGTTGAAGTAAGAGGCTGGTTAATATTGTGTATACAATGATGATATTTTTATTGTATATGATATTTTTTTATCATTATAACATTTTTCTCTCTTTTTATAGGTTGAAGTTGAAATCAAGAGTTGGTGAAGTTTGATTTATTGTAGAGAGTGAATTTCTAATAATTTTTATATTTGTAATTGGTTATACGGGACCATTTTTCTTCATCATTATTTATTATGGTATATTATTAATTTTATAGAGTAATATCAAAATCAGTTTTATTTACTAAATACAAAATATCAATAAAGTATTAAGAATAATATCTGAAATATTATTTGAGAATCAATTTTCAACCTGATGAAGTTTTATTGATTATTGGGTTAATTATGTATTTATTATTAAAAACAAATGAATTAAAGGTGAATATAAAGTAGAAACAAAATTGTAACGGTTTTGTATAAATGAGATTTGATAAAGAAACAAAAAAGTCAAAGGTAACTGATTTAGGCGGAAAAATGATTGAGATTTTATTAAATATTTTATTTAATGCATCTGCCAGCAATTATATATATATATAGATGATGAAGTGGGTCAGGTCGGGTCAGGGCGGGGCAGATTGGGGTGGGCCAATATTTATGCCCCAGACCTGGCCCGTTTAGGGAACGGGCCAGACCCGACCTCGCCTGTTTTGATAACGGGGCGGGTCCAACCCGCCCCAACGGTTGCAGGTCGGACCAAGCCAGATCGGCTCCGGGCCAAATTGCCATCCCTACCTGCTGCAATTCACAAGACCCAGCTCGTGACCTGCCCTGCATATGAATTGAATTTCAACGAATTGAATTTCAACAATTTTCATACTTTCCTCTTGTTTGTTATGTTTTTGTGCTTATTTTCTTGTGTTTTATGTGGTTAGTCGAGTCATTTTTAGGTTCGATTTTGAGTCAATCGGTCCATTTTGTTGTGTTTTATGTGTTTTCTTTCTTGTTATGTATTTTTGTATTTTTGTCGTATTTTTCTTGCGTATGTTGGTGTTGATTAGGTCCACATTATTCGAGTCGAGATGATGAGCCGTTTCAGAGACATTTCCGAGCCATGTCCGAATCTTATTCGAGCCATTTGGACCACTTCCAAGCCACCCCGAGCCATTTTTAAGAGGCGAGTCGAACCCAAGAAAGTCACTACACTCGCAGCTAGACGCGATTGGCGACCCGCGAACAGGAACGCTCCACACAAGCCCACAACTCGCTGCGGAAGAGATTTGGTGCCCCGCGAGATGATGCATGAGAGAAGGCCCATGCTGCGGCACTCGCTGCGAACTCATGTTCGCGTGCTGCGAAATGGTGTGCAAGAGAGCAACACTAGGCACTCGCTGCGGAAGTTGTTTCGTGCCCCACCAAATGCCACTCCACAGCCACCAAATGCCGAACTCGCTGCGAAATCACTTTCGCGAGCTGCGAAACACCCATTCCAGCACTATTCCATGCCCAAACTCGCTGCGAACTCTGTTTCGAGACCTGCGAACTGCAGAATTTCATTAAATGTGTGTGTTTCTAGTGTGTGTTTGTGGTGTAGCTATAAATAGACATTGTACCTTGTAATTTTGGAGACAACCCTCATTTCCCAACTTTTAAGTTG